TACTTACCCACTTGGCACCTACCACACAGGCAAGCCTAAGGGCCCAGATCAGGAGACCTGGACCTCACTGGAACCCTGCCTCTAAGGTTCATGGACCCATCACCTACCCACACACATGCACACACATATCTTTAGGAAAAAAAAATAGGCTAGATGACTATCCTCGTACACTGGTATGGTTAATACAGACTAGGCATTATCAGGCCCAGGATGCCCGCCAACTATTAGCTGCTCTTCTCCCAGCAGTGTAACACTTGCTTAGGTACAGTGCAACCTAGGCTGTTGCTCACAACTGGAGTTGTTTTCGTTTTAAATTATGAGCAGTCTAACATGTGTACAATGTATCTCAGCGTTTTGATTTTCATTACTTACAGCTAATGAGGTTGGGCATTGTCAACTTTCCATGTTTTTGTTGGCTTTTGGTATTGCTCATTGGTGAACTGTCTATCCAAATCCTTTGACTTCTTTTGAACTAGATTTTTGGGCTTTTTATATTTTAATTATTGACATACACTGGATACTTGTAGATACTTTTGAGATACAGGACTTGAAAATATTTTCTTTCATTTTGTATGTTGTCTTCACTTAATGTCCTTTGAAGCACGAAAGATTTTATTTTTTGCCCAATTTCTGTTTTGTTTTTCTTTATTTGCTGTCATATTTAAAAATCTATTGTTAGGTCAATGAATTGATGATTTAGTAAATTTCCTTTTAAAAGTTAGATAGTTTTAGTTATTACATGTAAGTCTTTGGTCCATTTTCACTTATTTGGTTTGTTTGTATATATTAAATGAAATTTAAATGATTTGTGTGCATCCAGTTTCCCTAGCACCATTTGTTGAAAAGATTGTTCTTTCCACATCAGGTGTTTTCCTGTGGAAAGCTTAACTGGCCATTTATTTCTGGATTCTCATTGTATTCCATTGGTCTATATGTCCTTATGCCATTCTACACTGTTGGCTGGAACTTACAGTAAGATTTGAAATAAAAAGAACAGAGCTAAAGGATGTATATTTTCTTACGTTTCATTTGACTATATGAAGTCTTTCACATTACATCTGAATTTCAGAATTTAGTTGTCATCTGAAAAAGAAGGTAGCTGGAATTTTAGGGAGTTATGTTGAATCTACAGATAAATTTCAGGAGTACTGCATCATAACAATAAGTTTTCCAAACCATGGACATATGCCATTTTTACTGAGAGCTTTTCCAATAAAGTTCTATCATTATTTCCACATGATTCTTGCACATTATTAATTGTACCCCTAAGATTTTATAGTGTTACTTTGCCTTTATAAGTCATATTGTGTAGAATTTTTTTAATTGGGAATTTATGAAGAACTATAATAAGCAGCATCATGTTTTTACCAGAAAACCTCAGTGAGTTTTTTCCTCAGCTTAAAATAGAACTAAAAAGCCGGGAACTGGTTGCACAGAGGCTTATTTATGATGTGACCAGGTGAGCCAGAAAGAGGGAGGGAGAGACACCAAAAGTTTGAGGAAGGATCTTGGGGCTATTAAGCCTTGATGGGCAGTAACTTACAGGTAAAAGGTTCCCCATAGCTCTTCCCTTCAACAATTAGGAAATGGGTGGGCATTGCTTGGGATACCCACTTGAAGGTGTGGCCAAGATTTCAGCAGGTTTGGACTGTCTCAATGTGATATTGGTTCAGGGGTGCATAAAAAGACCAGAACAATTAGATAGAAAGTCCAAAAATAAACCAACATATATACATATGTGTCTTAGGACAAAGGCCTCACAGCAATTTAGAATAGAAGAAAATAAATTATCTTTTCAATAAAATATGGTAGAGCAAATACATACAAGGAATAAAAATGAGCTGTAGCCTCTACCTTACACAAGTACATAGAAATTAAGATGGCTTGTACACAAATGTCAAAGGAAGACATTAAAGCCTCCTTAAGAAAAAGAATGTCATTTTACCTTGGAGTAGTCAAAGGCTTATTGAAAAGGCCACAAAAAAGTACTAACCTTTGTAAGAAAAGACTGATAAATTGGACTTTGATATTCAGAGTAAGAATTTTGGTTCATCTGAAGTTCATATTAACATAGCAAAAAGATGCATGGTAAGTCAAGAGGGTATGCTGATAACACATCTTTCTGACAATATTTAACTCTTGAGTATGTAAAAAGTTCTTTACATACCAGTAAAAACATAAATGTAAGACTTGGGCAGAACAGGAATTTCATTAAAGGAAATAAGCAGTAAGTACATAAGTCCAAGCAAACAAGTATTAAACTAAGAGAGCATTTTGTATGCACACTAAAATGAATAAATTTTGTAAGACTGATAATACCAATTGTTAGTTTGGATGTGGATAAACTGTAAACGAGAACTTTTATACATTGCTGGTGGAAGTTTAAATTAGGATAATTATCTTGGAAGAAATGTTTGGTCCTTTCAACCAAAACCAAATTTATATCTACCTTATAACCCCGCCTACCATTCACCAAAGACATGTTCATAATGAATATCTTTATGGCATCCCTAAAAAAACAACCCACCTGTCATAGAAAAGATAAATTTTGGCATATTAACCTGCAATAAAAAGGAACAAACTTAACACCAATGTGTAACATGAATATATATTGTGAAATGTCACACAAATACAGCTTCAAGAGCAGATGAAACTAGTCATGGTGACAGCAGTCACGGTAATCTCAAAGTTGGGAGTTTCTGGGGTGCTGTCTTGATGACCAAGGTTGGTCCATCATAAAGATTCATTTATCTGTAAGCCTAGTAGACATTTGCAGTTTGTTGGTGTGCTTTGACTTAAAGTGCATGTATAGATAAAGTAGGCCAAACAGACATTAAATCTAGCCGAAGGCAGTATGTTCACTATAATCAAGTCCACTTAAAACATGTCCTTCCAGAAATAAGTGGATGGCTTTAATAAAGGGGGACATGGTACCTTTTATCTTTGTTAATAAGAACTCATGGATCACAGATTAGAGCCACAAGCCACAAGAAACCTGCCAAGGGTTGTCTGGGACTCCCTGAAAAAAGGAAAAACCACGTTGGAAACTTCAAAGAGAAGCTTTAAAAGCCAGTGATTCTTCAAAATTTTATTTGCCTAACATTAGTGTAGACAGCTGCTGTAGTGCCAGCAGGAATATGGTGCATTTGAGATAGTAAAGATGAAGAACTACTGTTGTGGAGCATTTCTTCACTGCCATTAAATGCATTGATCGGCCTGCTTATTAGTAAGGTTATTCAGTATCTGAGCAGTAAATCTAAATTGAATTCCTTTATACCAGTATTGTAGCTATCAGTTTAGTAAACTGTACTTGAAGGTTTTTTGTGTTTTCGCGTGTTTGGCTGGATTGCTGGAGAGGGGGATGTCAAAAATAGTAAAACAAAAAAATTAACTCTAGAAACTTTCCTGATTAATTTTGTGAATATTAAAGATTTTTGCGTTATTACTATATTGTTTCTATAATGAATGATAACGCTGATAATTCAGTTTTATGACTAGGTTTCTGGTTTCTAAACAGTGTATTTCAGGAATTTCATTTTTAAAATCAGCAAAGCAGCACTGTAACTATTTTCATTTTGCCCCATAGTAGGTAACAGGTTGATTAATCCTTTATGGCACGTAAGGATTATAAACAAGCCTGAGTTTTGAGACACCAGCGAGTGGAGAGTAAATAATTTCCATGGACCGTAACAGGAGCCATCAAGAAATATCAGAATCTTCTGTAGCCTCAGATGAATACAAAGGGGTTGTTCTTTGAGAATTGAAGTGTCTTTACTCTAGGCCACGGATCTTGTGGGACTAGGGTTGTCATCATAAGGTAGTGTCTGAATGTTAACTCAGATCTGAGTACTTCCTGACTTTGGCCTCCTCTGCAAAAGACAATGAGCATGATGACCCTCCCAGTCTAGTGTCCCTATACTTCATACTTCAGGAAGCTTTTATTTCTGGTAGGGCACCTTCTTATACCTATATAATATGGATTGTTCCAGTGGAGAGAAAATTAAATTGTTAGCCAATCCCGAAAGGACAAACATCATATGTTCTCCGATATAATGCAACCTTCATGCAAAATACAAGATCAATAGATATATACGTAAATTTATCTAGAGGAACTGTTTAATGGAGGCAAGTATACTGTGAAGTGGAGATACATTGCAGTATGCATCTCTGCTTTTATAAAGAGATGGACTCCCAGTAAAACTGTTTAATATATCTTGCCACCACAGTGCTGGTCCTTATCCCATTCTCTATTCCTGCACTGTCAGAATACACTTAGAAGAATGATGGACTTGTTACTGTTGTAGAGGGACTCTATCATTACAATATAGGGGAAAACAGTGGGGAGGGGGAAGGTGTGGAAAGGGAAATCCCTGAGTCTATGGAACTGTATTATCAAGAATAAAAATGATAAATAAATAAATGAAACAAAATGGCAAGGGAATACCTGTGCACATGAAGTTCTTAAGCTAATCATTACTCACTGTAACCCTAAGAGCTGTCTTTGCTAATACTGAACAGTTCATTGAAAACTATAGTTAACTGCTAGGTTGAGAACTGAAGTAAAGATCTGATTCACAAACATATGCTCAAAGAAGTAATTTCATGTACCAAATATAACATATTTGAAATAATTTGTTTTAAGTTAAATCTAAATGAAACCATTGGAAAATAAAGTGCTAATTAAAGAAAATGTGTACTTTAACAAGATTTATAGCTTTGAATTGGGTTATGACTATGTGTTACTGAATATGAATTGCTGTAAAAAGATCTAACTCACCATTTTCACTAAATAGTGAAACAATTGTATTTGTTAGGGCAGTTTTTGAGAAAGCTTAAGACAGGTCCACTATTAATCTTGTAGGTCTCCTGTGTCTTTTCTTAATTTAACATTAATGTGTAAACATTGGTGAATGTTTCCAATTCATATAATTTTCAATAAAAGCGATTGGTGTTTCTGTCAAAACAAATTTAATTTTCTTTTTTGATGTGTTTTTCCTTAGGAAACTGACTGGACACTCCTTCCACATGGGCTACAGCATGGCAATTTTGAATGGCATTGTAGCTGCTCTTACTGTAGCCTGGTGCCTCCTGTAAAACCCACACTGGAGCAATACTGTTGGCAAAATGTGATCTTGATTGTTTTGTAATATTAGGAGAAAACATCATTGCCCTCTCAGAAGACCAGGAAACCTGATGTTCATTTTGTAGGTCACCTGCGTGTCGTCATCAGCATTATGGGACAACTTGTCAAGCACCTTTCTACAGGCTAGGCCTTGGGATATCTGAATATTAATTTTCAAGAACTTTCTTTAAAAAGTATAAGATGTTTTACCTCATCTTTTTACTTTTGTATGTGTTCTGATAAGTTGTAGAAAATATTTTAATGGAAACGAATGTAAAAACTTGAATACAAGATCACTGCCTACTTTTTCATGTTTATAGCACATTTTATGCTAAGAAATACTGGTTTTGCTAGGTAATTGAGATACAATTGTTTCTTATGTGCACATTACATTAGGAGAGCAAACAGTTCCTATTTTACCAACATTTTATAGAACTTACTTTTAAGTAAGAATATATAATCAAAGGTGTGTGCATATTTTTATGATAGTTATGTGTATATTTTTTAGCATATTTTCCTATCACATATTAAATTTATGTTTGTAAAATTACATTTGGACAGTTGTAAACATTATTTCCTAGCTGGTATAAGCTAATACTAGCTAGTGTAGCTATCTTGCTTTTTAAAAAGCTTTTTAGAAAACCAAAACTAAATTTTAAATTAATTTATTTTTTTAAACAATGACTGATAAAGATGTCACTAAAATGCTGATAAATTTGAGGGTGCTTACTATTTCAACTTCTAAAATTCCAACTATTATCTTGATGTATATAATTATTTCCACAGAATTAATATGATTTCATTTTCAATAAATGGGAACCTAAAAATTTTGAATGTAGAAATGCTTGAACTATGTTTTTAATTTCAGAAATTTAGTTACTAAAGTGGAAAAGATATTTTGGTATTCTGTTTATTTATGTACAATAAACCTTACAATGTATAAATAATACTGTGTATACTATAGTGTCAGTAGTTTTTCTGTTTCATATTTAAGTATTCTAGAGTTGTGATGTTAGGTTTTGTTTTCACAGTAGTTTAGCCTTAGTAGTTCCCTTTCCTTACTAACATCCTTAAGCCTTTAGAAAGTCATCTCAATTTTGGAAAGATGTGTAGTTTTCAGAAATGTCTTCCCTGGGTATGGAAAAGTACATTTGTAAATCATTGAGTGATGAAACTGCTGATTCAGGCTCTACAGAAAAAGAATATGTACAGTGTGTTCTCCTGAATGCTGATCTGATGAATATTGTTACTCAGAAAGAAAATTTTTAAAAGTAAAAATTTTTGCTATTTAAAAATTTTTAATTGTTCCATTTTAAATTGTCTGTTTCTCCAAAAAAAGAGGGACAGAGAATATAAGTTTCCCGTGAACTTTTTAAGCTCCTTTGTATGTATGTATATGTCTAAGTATCAATCCAGTGACATTCCAGTGGTTCCTGAAGCCCAGTGGGATTCTGCCAGTTAAGACATTTGGTTATGTGGCTGACAGTTCCTGTTTAAGCCTCTGCTCTTCATACTGGCTGTTGTCATTTGCAACAGTGGTCAAGAAGAGCTTACTTAGCAGCTAGACTCCATCTCTTTAAAGAAACAGACTCAGATGACCTCTGAATTTGCAACTTCATGTTCCATGCAAGGACCATTAAGGGTACATAGTATGCACCTGTACCTGTGACTCATAATAAATCTCAGTGACTTCAAAACAGGTTTTGGTTAAACCAAAATTAGTTGTTGACCTTGGTGTTTCATCGTGGAAGTTTGGGGTTTTTTGTTTTGATTTTGAGGATTTCTTTTTCTTTTTCTTTTTTGGTACAAAAAGCAAGATTTATTAAAGGTGTAAACTTGCTGTGCAGTATCAGGAAGGGAGACTTTAAGAGAAGGCTTCACCAGATGTTCATGTCCCCAATCAGCTCTCTGATCACTCCCAATGGTTAAACTGCTGGCTTTCACCAGATTGTCCCCAAATTCAGCTCTACTGATTCACTCCCCAAATGATTATAACAGCTGGAGCTGAGCCTGTCAGGAGCCAGGAGTTTCTTCCAGGTCTCCCATGTGAGTGTAAGGTCCCAAGGCTTTGAGTCATTTTCCACTGGTTTCCCAGTCCACGAGCAGAGTACTGGAAGGGAAGGTGAGCAGTGGGAACACAAACCAGCACCCAAATGGAATTCCAGCTCTTGAAGATAGAGGATTAGCTAATTGAGCCATTTTACCTGGCCCCAGGCTAATTCTTAGTTTGATAATTTTTATAACTTCAAGTATTTTAAACAAGATATAAGGCAGTTTGAAATCAAGCAAAGACTTTCATAAAGAAGACAGTGGCCATCATTGTGGGTGGGTTAAGCCACCACATGTAATATCATCATCCAATATGGGCAGGTTCAAATGGGCATCATTTCAAGTCCTGACTGTTCCACTTCACATCCAGCTCACTGCTATCTGGGAAAGCAACCACAGGTGACTTGAATGTTCAGGTCTTTGCCACTGAAGCACTCCCAACCTGCCATCCTGATACTTAATGATCCTGTGAAGCTTTGCCTTGAGAGGTTACTGATGTTCACAGAATGGGTTGCCCTGCAGGTCTGATTTTGCAGTCTGTTTAATAGGGCCTTGTTAGGAACATTTCTAGTTCAGAAATCCCACATGTTGGATCTGTTGGAAGAGACCTGTCTCTATTTCTCAACCTTTCTTACGTTGGCAACTGAGTTATTTACATTAGAGATACATAACTCCTATTTTATACTATATTTTTTTTTAAAAAAAGGATCTATTTTATTTGAAAGGCAGAATAAGAGACAGGTCTTCCATCACTGATTCACTCCCCAAATCGCTGCAACAGCCAGAGCAGCTGTTGGGGGCCAAGAGCTTTCTCTGGGTTTCTCTGAGAGCTGAAGCTGGAAGCCAGGATCTTTCTCGGGGTTTGCCATATGGGTGCAGGGACTCAAGGACTTGAGCCATCCTTGGCTGCACTCCTGGGCCACAAGAAGGGAGCTGAATTGGAAGTGGAGCAGCTGGGACATGAACCAGTGCCACAATGGGATACATGTACTGCAGGTGGGTGATTAGCTTGCCATGCCACTGTACTAGCCCCTATATCATATTTCTTTTGCCAACAATATGAATTTGTAGATTCCCCCAAGGAGATTTTTCCTTTGCTGCCACACCACCTCATTTTTGGCCAGAAATAAGAAAACACAAAACCCTATAGAAATCAAGTTTCAATTGTTTCCAACATCATTTAATCATAACAAACTCTTACACAGAATGAAGATAGGCAGTGAGACATGAGGAAGTAACATGGCATGTAGTCCGGAAACTCCTTTCTTTATGACTGTCTTTGAATACTCTACCTGGATGATGGTATCCAGAAGATGTAGGTGAGTCTCTCACATGGGAGACCCAGAAGAAGCTCTTGGCAGCTTCTGAGAGGCTCAGCTCCAGCCGTTGCAGCCATTTGGGGAGTAAGCCATTGAGTGAAAGATGTTATTGTCTCTCCTTCCCTGTGTATATCTGCTCTGCCTTTCCAGTAAAATAAGTCTCTTAAAAAGTGATCAGAGGCCCACGGTGATGCAGCTGGCTAATTCTCCACCCCAGGATGCTGCTGTCCCATGTGGGAGCCAGTTCCTGACCTGGCTACTCCACTTCCCTTTCATCTCCCTGCTTGTGGCCAGGGAAAGCAGTAGAGGATGGCCCATAGGGACACTGCACCTACATGGCTCCAGATGATCTCGGCTCTGGCCGTTGAAACCATTTGGGGAGTGAATCTGCATTGGAAGACCTTCTCGCTGGTTCTCTTTCTCTGTCCAATAAAAATAAATAAATCTTTAAAAATGTCACAGGGACCTTCCTTATGGTAGCAGGTTAGCTACCTGTTGTGTTAGCATCCCATTTAAGTGCTTGTTTAGGTCTTGGAACTCTAAGATAATCCTGTAACCTGTTCTGAGCAATATTCTTTTTTAACCAGGAGAGCAGCTGAGATTCAAATCAGCACCCATAAGTGATGCTGATGTCACAGTCAGTCGGTTTATGCACTGTGGGACAACATTGTCCCTGGTAGAAACCCATTTCTATTTTGAGAGCATTCCTTGTTATGCTTTTGTAGAGGGCAAGTCTCCACATTGCATTACAGAAGGTTAAGAGATTATTTTCTTAGTCCAATTTTGTATGTAGCTTTGATGCCACCAACTGTATGTTCTTGTCAAGTCTGAATTGTCCGTGAATGTCACAATAACTGACAAAGGGTGGAATGTGTTCTTAGTTGCACAGTTCATTGGTAGGTGATAATGGTAGTTGCTAACAGTCTGGTAGCAACTGGGCCCACCAAATTTTAACCAGGCTATTCTGAAACAGAACTATAAATTCTGCTATCAAGCTTTCTTTAAATTTGTCATTTTATTTTACTGCTTCTCTGGTCTTTTCAATTCTCTGTTGCTCCAGAATGTAACAATAAAATGATCTTAAGCTAAACAGGCTTACATTCTAAAGTTTAAACTCAAGAGCCAAACATTTATCATATCTTGACTCTTCACTGCTTATCTCCAAAGCTTCTGAAGAAACTAGACCAGAATGATTCTGCATGAACTCATTTATCATGCCACTAATCAAAAAGACATCATGTGCTACACAGACTTATTTTATAATGACTAATCTTGAAGATTCCTTTGGATTCCTTTTCTATACTGACCTTTCCTAGGCTGAAATGTGTGGAACAGGTGCCCAGTAATTGTGTATGCCATGTATTAAATGCCTAATCTGAGCATAGAATTATAAAATCATATAATAAATTTAGAAAAGAGGTTCTGTATTTTATAATCCAGTAAATATGTAGACAATAAGAAATCATTACAAACACATTAGGAAATATAATGCCTGTTTGTAACAATACCAAATTCAAAAATACAAAATTTTTAAATAAAACATTCTTGAAGTTCTCTTAGATTTGATCATTTTTAGTGCCACTGAACTAAGTAGATAAGTGGCATGATGAAGGGACAATCAGAATGTAATTTATTCATAGATTCACAATTTAATATTTCAGAACGAGCCTCTACAGTAGAGTAGTTTTAAGTATTGGGTCCCTGGGTTAAGAGAACTAAATTATATAAAATTACAGGTTACTTGTATGGATAAGGAAGTATTCAGCAACACGAGGAGACTCCTTGAATGTCAGTGCTTAAAATGGCAATATTCTGTTGTCATCCTTGCACAGAAGTCACACTAATATTTCCATCATTCCAATCTTACTATATGTGCTGCCCAAGCAAGCATTTATGGCAACTGTTACAGTGAGATAATTAACACTGTGCACAACAAAACATCAAAATCTACAGATGACATTGATACTGGAATTTGAGAAATCCTTACACCCTTGGAAACAACACAAGTCGGTAGAAAGTTGACAGGGCTTTTACAGTGAATAAAAGCTTGTAACCTTAGGAGGAAAAAAAAATAGTGTGTATATATATGTGTGTATGTATATATTTATACATACAAAGAGAATCACCGGAAAAGACTTTGAGGGACAGGAGTTGGGTGCAATAAAACAATACCAGCAGTGGCCACAACCCACACTGAGTGACTCTAGTTCTGATTCTGCTTCCGGTTTATAGTTTAGCAGCTCAAGTTCTTAGTCCCTCTCACCCATGTGGCAGACCTGGGAGGAGTTCCAGGCTCTTAGCGGCAGCATACCTGTGAACCGGTAGATGGAAGAGCTTTCTCTATCACTTTGTATTTCAAGTAAATAAATAAGTAAAACTCAACAATTTGCTTTTTAAAAGGTACAGAGTATACATGCATACTTTTAAAGTTACGGTCTCTACTCCTCAAGAGATAAAATTTTAATTCCAATTCATACTGCGAAGATGAACCAAAATTAAGCGTCAGCCCGTGGTGTAAGAAATTTAAACTCAAGAGTTATGTACCTTGGGTTTCAGGGGGATAAGAAGGGGCGGGGGCGGGGGGCGGGCAGGGACCTAGCACGGTGGCCTAGAAGCTAAAGTCCTCACCTTGAATGTGCCATGGTTCCCAGATGGGCACCGTTCTAATCCTGGCAGCTCCACTTGCCATCCAGTTTCCTGCTTGTGGCCTGGAAAAGCAATCGAGGATGGCCCAAAGCCTTGGGACCCTGCACCCACTTGGGAGACCTGGAAGAGCTCCGGGCTCCTGGCTTCAGATTGGCACAGTACCGGCCGTTGCGGTCACTTGGGGAGTGAATCAATGGTCGGAAGATCTTTCTCTCTGTCTCTCCTCTCTGTATATCTGACTTTCCAATAAAAATAAAATAAATCTTTTTTTTAAAAAGGTGGC